CTTAATCACTTGACATCTACTGTAATTACTTTTTATTACCTGTCATTAGTTGTCATAAAACCATTATAAAGCTGTCACCGAGCGTAATTACCAATTAGCAAATTAGCCAATAATTAAAAAGATTTAAGAAAGTTTTAAATTAAAAATATTACAATATTGTTATTATTAGATGAACAATTTGATCATTTTTAAATAATAACTTTAACTTTTAATTTAAACTAATTAATTTAAACTAACACGTTATAACCATATATAATTACACCAGGTACGAAACGTCTCAGTTACAAAACAACGTAGTTACGAATCGACCAGGTACGAAACGACCAGGTTACGAAACGACGTGCATTCTATCTTTTTAATTATTGGCTAATTTGCTAATTGGTAATTACGCTCGGTGACAGCTTTATAATGGTTTTATGACAACTAATGACAGGTAATAAAAAGTAATTACAGTAGATGTCAAGTGATTAAGTAGATTAATGGCACACGACCTATGGCACACGACCTGAAAAAACATAATTATTTTCTCCTTTTTTTCACTTTTACATGCAATTGCATAACCCTCCTCCTTTTTCACCCGGGCTGGGGACCGGCGTTGGCGGAATTAAAGCTTTTTTTTAAGAACACTTTATCTTACTCTATTCTTTTTCTTTCTTTCAGATACATCACTATGTTGTCCTTTGTTTGCATGCTTATACTGGCATAAAGCCTGATTTTTCATCCGAAAAACCTAACACGCTGATATCTTTTTAGTTTACCTTCGGATACTAACTTGATCAAGAAACATGAAAGAAACAACTTATGATAGAAAAAAAAGAAGATAAATAAAGAACTAATTAAGCAACATAAAGATGAGTGGTGTCAAGTATCCGGGAGACATCAAAGCACGTGGCAGAAGACTAAATACTTTGATAAAGACGTGTAAATTTATGTGCAATCAATTATTTAATAAATAAATATAGATATATATATATACATACATCAATAAGTCTATTTATTACTTTTTACGTAACCTACTACTCTTATTGTTATTATATATTGATATACGGTTACAGGGAAAACGGTACTATTTATTTATTTATTATTGATTTGAAAAGCTCACTAGAGCTTGTGTTTATGTAGTTTATGGAATATCGACTCTAAATAAAAACTTTGAATCTTGAATCAGAAGCACCGAGTATTTTTTTTACGTATATATATTACTATATTCGCTTGCAAGTTTTTTAGAAAAGCTATTACTTCTATATAACATTGTTTAACGCAATTTAGGATCGCATTGCAATCTTCTGACATTCATGGGAAGTAACTGCGTAATCCTGGTCATCTGACAAACAATCATATGACTTTTAGAACTTGTTTTTGTTGACTTGAGAAATATGAAGGTTCTATTGATTCTTTCATTTACTTCTTTTGGTAAGTAGTGAGATATGTCAAGTCAACTTCGGCATGTTTACCAATTTGAAAAGTAGAAGATAAGAAGTACAAAAATTATGCTTATAATTAATTTCTAAATTGTTTCCTTACACAACACTGTTTATTATAGCCTATATAGGATCATCCAATCTGTAAAACATGGACGTACAGTTTTTTTTTTTTCAATACTCTAAATTTAAATAACGGGCTTTTTCTTTAAATCTGTTGTTTAGGGATCTGTGCATTATTGATAATTTGATTATTTTACAGGCCAAAATAACATAATACATATACAATGTATATGCCCTATTATTATATGGTCTGATCACATGTTTTCGCACCTCATGTGAATACACCTTATCACTATTTGTTCACCATTACTGGACATCACAAAGGTTCCAGTAAAATTTTGACATCACAATAGAAAATATCTGACGCCATAATGGAAAAGTGATTGTTGTATTACGCAAAAAGTTCAAGAGGCGCACATTCTCAGGTCACGCGGCGCAGATTTCCAAATAGCGATAAGGTATATTGGTACTATGCATGCTTATTGAATGAAAATTGTGACGTCACAATGCATTCTTAATAGCATGAAAACCCATAATACGTCAGGATAAATCACAATATTTGTAGTACAGCCAATGACTTAACTCTTTGGCTGCGCAAGGGATATACATGTACCGTTGGCGAACCGTGATAGGGACACTAGTTCAAATATGACGATGAAAGTTTTCCAAACAAACTGCATTTATTCCGCATCAACTTCACAAATAATACATGATGGTCTTGAAGTATAGATTCTGGGTACTGACGTTGTTTATCATCTTAATAACGTGTTATAGTTTTCTTTTATTTGTCTTCATGAATATTATTTTTACTGTTTAGTCTGTTTTTGGTTATATCCATTTGACGTGGGTCTGTACTTATACATCCCGTCATTGTGTTATTGTGCTATGGTTAATTTGTGTATTCTTGTCTTTCATTTTTGCTAATGAGCTTTGTCTATATGCCTTTTTGTTTTCTTTGTTACATATGACGTGGCTCTGTACTTATACATCCCGTTATTGTGCTATGGTAAATTTTTGTATTCTTGTCTTTCATTTTGCTCATGTGCTTTGTCTATATGCTTTTTTGTGTTTCTTTGTTACATATTTGTTTGTTTTTATAGTGATTAAGATTATAACACAATGTTGACTGCTGTACCGCAATTTTTTACATTTTTACCTAGTATTATGTCTGTTTGTTTTGTTCACACATCGTTGTCAATATAAAGGAATATAAAGGAATTTAATGCGACTGTCATACAAGTGAGAGGTTTAGCTAGCTATAAAACTGAAAAAAGTCACAAATCTGATAGGAAATTGTGACTTTTTTCGCTACATTTGTACATAAAGATCGATATCTATCTAATGTGTGAATTTTTTTCCTACCAAATTTGACTTTTTTTACATTTACCAAGCATGAACCTTATTTTTGACTAGTTATAACTGAGGGAAAATGTTATTATATTTATTGTAAAAAGACATTACCAGCATAAGTATTGAGTACTGAGTTTTACTACTACATGTACATGTATATCAAAGAAGAAGTAGAAAACTGAGGAAAATTACAAACTTTTATTACCTGAAACTCTTAAAGTCATGTTATTATAACATATACATGATACATGTATATCTATAATACTAAAATAATGAAGTCCAATTTGTTAGCCGGCATGGGGTAAAAACGACAAATCAAAGGATTCAATTTTATATAACTAATATAGGACATTGAATGGTGTTGTTTAAAAATTACACCATTCAAGACCCTTTTGTTTTCCACATAATTAATATTGCCAACAATTAAAAAGTTCTGGGTGGAATCCCATACCGATACCAATAGTATATATCACCAGTTGCCTATTGCCTTACGTTCCGCATCTGTCAGGCACACCACCAAAAGGTGTATTTGGGATTTGCTATATATACACAGGTCAAAACCACACCTAAACTTCTCCATTATACAGGGTTGACACTACTAAATTTGATCATTGTCACATTGTTTCTTATTGTAGTATATTAATCAACATGACTTTATAAGATGACAATACGAGTACTAAAAATCCAGTTTTAAAATAAGGCGTAGGTACACGGTTTCCTATTTGTTAGCTGGCATGACGTTAAAACGGCAAATCAAAGAATTCTTTATTTAGAACTAATATAGGCCCAATAGTGCTGATTAAAAATTAAACTATTCCATGCCCTTTTGTTTTCCAAATAATATTACCAATAATTAATAAGTTCCGGGGTGACGGGTTGAAACAGAAAGATTTTGAAAGCAGAGAAAACCGTGCATCTTATAATCAGCATGACTTTATCAAATGACAATACCAATACCAAAAATCCAGGCTAAAATAAGGCTTATACATAATTAGATACTTTAATTCAGTCACGGGCCCTCGATATCGCGGGTGTGTTCTAGTATAAAAGAATCCTTTAGATGCAAACTAATAACTTTACAATGAATGACTGATATGGCTTCACAAAATGCAGTTTGAAGAGGTTTTCTAAATTTCTTTGGAGGAAGTAAAAGATTTATAAAGGGTTTATCATGTTTATTTCCTAAGAAGAAGGAAGGCTTTAAAGATTAAATTTACATTCCTCACATTTGTCCTCATGTACATTGTATTAAACCAAAATAATTGAAATGAATAATGTCAAGTAGTACAATGTAGTAAGGATACACTAATTATTTGAGAAAAGTCATCATATTATGACCTACATGACCTATTATGACCTACATGACCACCTATTACCACAATCAGGCAAAGTATATATGTGTTATGAAGTTCCAAGGTTTATAGTATTTTGCAGCTTTAATCTTCAACATTATTTTGTCCACTTGACACTGATCTGTAAGTTTGTGGATGACTATGATTGTTCAGGTTTGCATGATCATGATGATACATCTTTTATTTTATAAAGAAACAATGGAGAATGTTCTGATTGGTCATTGTTGATGGATGTGATTTGAAGAGATGGAAATGAAACATATACAAATTTGCTTTAAACATTAATTCCCCAATTCTCTTGTTTCAATGTCAGTTTTCTGATTTGCCTTTAAGTTGGTTTGTTTAATTTTGTTCATTATTTCCTGCATATTATACATGCATTTAGGAAATGTCATTGTTTAACTGTTACCCTATGTTTTCAAATAAGATCTCATAGAAATGTTTGTATGGTTACATCACAATTCATCACTAATAAAACTTGGCAAAAAAAAAAACTTGGACCATCAAAGTTGATAACTTGAACTGTCTATAAAAAAAAGCTACATGTAGCCTGTTCAATTGACTTTGGTTAATTTGTTACATATTGTACAAAATATTTTCATCATTGGCATTTTGACTGACATGAGCATATAAAGGAAACATAAAAACAATCTATGTAGTCATGTTACAAAAATATAAATGAAAATAAAGGAGAAATACCTATGATTGCTACGCAACAACTCAACATGTAAAGGAACCATATACATGAATTTTATTATTCGTCATTGAAGATTTGCAAGACTGAATTTTAACGATCACATGATCTCATTGCAATCTTCTGAAATTGATAGACAGTAACTGCCTGCACACTCTGATCAACATCTGACAATTGATCATATCTAAGAACTTGTTTGTGTTGACTTGAGAACTATGAAGTTTCTCATGTTTTTAGTGATTCTTTCATTTGCTTCTTTTGGTAAGTAGTGAGATAAGTTGTAACTGTTTTTTCTTTCAAATTTCTGTAATCAGGTAATTGTTCAATATCTTTGAAGAGAGATATCAAGAGAAAAATTTTTTTTAGACAAAAAGAAATTAGATATTTGTTGTTTAAATATAAATGTAATTCAATTGATTAAGGAAATGTATTCTTGTTACAGGAAGGAAAATATTAAATCAATATGCTGAATCCAAAGTACAAATGAAACAATGACATTTTTTTCATAAAAAAAACAACGTTGAAATGAATTTGAATTTTGTAGCAATATTGTTACTGTAAAACTTATCCCTGTTAAAAAATTAACTACTGTACCCCTGTATTTTACATTTGAAGCCAGGATCCCTTGCACAGTAGGCGATAGCTATATATGTCGACAACTAAGATAAAGGAGTTCTCCACTAGCTTAATACGTACACCTTATGGCTTTTTGTCCACCATTACTTGACATTACAGAAGTTCCCCTAAAATAGCAAAAAGGTCTATAGTTAATGAAGGGTTGTTACAAATCTACTGGGTTTATACATATAGAATAATGGCATTTTTGTTTTTGATACTGACTATCAGCAAGAATATCAAGCGAGCCCGCCAGGTCTAGCTGATTTTTCGAGCTAATGAAGTCAGTATAAAAAAATAAGAGTATCAGGTCCTATACATAATATAGAAAAATATTAGGCAGTAAGGTCAAAGGAAAAACATACAAATTGCAGATAAAATGTATATATAGTGTTTCTCTTTGATGAAATTGTCTATATGTAATGCCTTGACTAGATTCCTTGTTGACCACCCAAGATATTTACCATTAATAAAAATACAAAATAATGTTGTTCAAAAATTCTGAATTAAACAATATTTTATTTTATTTAAATGATTTTTTGGTGAAAAATGTCTTAATACACATATATACTGCCATATTATTATATAGGGACCTCATGACACATACTGCCATATTATTATATAGGGACCTCATGATCAACATTGTTCAAACACAATATGTTTTTAAACTTTGAAAAATTAATTGGAATAAGTTTTACTGGACATGATAGATATTACAAGATGCTTATTCATTGTATTGTAAAATATGATGAAAATAGGGATATATAAGTCAAGATATATTTTTACATGTGATAAAAAAATATTAGAATTTAAATTTCTGATGTATCATCACTTTGTAAAGTAATTCTACTTTCTGAAATGGTGAAGATAAAAGCATGCTTAAGAGTTAAATGTCAATACAGTCTGATCATTGAATTTCCGTATGCATTGTTGTTCTGTCACGAGTCATGTACATAAAATATACATCCAATTCAATCAGGTGATATTTAAAGTTCAAAACATGTGACTCAAAGTTTTTTTAAGAATAAGCTTAAGTTTTCATAATACGTAACTCACTAGACCTTGGAATTTTGTTTCTATAAAATCAAGTTCACTTTACATGTGATGTACATGTGATGCTGAAATCCACCAGACCTTGGATTTCTGTTTCTATAAGGTCAAATTCACTTTACGTAAGATACTAATATTCTCTAGACCATGGAATTATATTGCCAGTAGGTCAAGATCATTAAACATGTGATGCTTAAATTCACTAGACTGTGGAATTCTGTCTCTTTAAGTTCAAGCTCAGTACTTCAGGATTAGGAAAATAGAATAGAAAGTCCAAACTAGTATTGAGTAAATTACATATGACATGAAACATAATTTACATATGCATTTGTCAATGCTATTAAAACAAGGAATTATTTGAATGTGGAATAATTCTGAATTCTGGAAAATTGAGAAGAAATGCATGATGAAAACTAACCATTTGAAACTAAATAGGGTCAGCCATGTGCGCATTGCTAAGGGGGGTTAGTTAGTTCATACTGAAATATAAGTGAAAGTAAAATTAACCATAGCCATGCGTGTATGGCTAACCCTATTTAGTTGGGTTAGTTTTTGTCTCACCTTGACGGAGTCAAAAAGCGAGACATAGGTATGCTGTTTCCAGATCAGTTTAAGATGAACCTCTAATGTTAAGTCAATGATATTTGGTATGCAACTTTATTGGCATTTGCAAGTCTCGTTTCCATGGAGATTATATAGCCCCACCCCTCATCATGGTTCATTGACTTTGAAACTTTTAAATAGTTTACAAGTTAATGTTTGTATTTAGATTTGTTTAAAGGGACTTATGATAAGTCAATGGTATTTGGTATGCAGTTGTATTAGCATTGGCACATCTCATTTCCATGGAGATTGTTTAGCCATGTACCGTCAGTCATGGTTCATTGACTTTGAATATTTGCATAACTTACTTGTTAAAGTATTGTCCTTTTAATTTCAACATTTGCATTATCAAAATTACAAAAATGCGAGACATATCTCTGTGTTAACAGTTTATTATCATACATTTCTAATCAATTTTCCAGAATTCAAAATCATTCTAGATTCAAATAATTCCTTGTTTTAATTTGACTTCAAAAGATATGTCACCCTCTCCTTCAAAAAATGAATGACTCCTGAACCTTTTTAAAAATACCCATGGGCTGTTGTATTATTGGATGCAGTATATTCAAAATAAAATAATTTACAATGCATCCAAAGGGTCGACAGAGAGATAGAGATATAATCATCACCCATATACTGTATTAAAATTTATGCTGAAGTTGGGCCTCCGTTTTTTGTGTTGAATGTTTAAATATGCAGCTACGTCCAGTCTGAAAAGGGATAAATCTGAGGCCACATAAGTGCCATGCTTGTGCACTTTAAAAGAACCTTTGCAACAACTCTCTGATGCTGTATTAGGTGGCCTATTGTTTTGGTTGACTGGCATTACTCCGAAGATGGTCAACTAAAATATTTATGTAAATTGGTGTTGCTGTTGATGGCATGGTGACTCTATATTCTACCAGTTTTGGAAAGATGAATTGTCCATGCCACTCTAATTTTAAACATTGCAGTTTATGTATAACTTGCCCACTGTCATGCCGGCTGTCTGATTCCACACAAGTTCTTACTTTATGTTTCTATGATATAATAAGGCACATGTACTTAAGCCTTAGTTTATTCAATGTTAACAATTAGAACACAATCATAGTCATGTGTTTCTTTATATAAACATTTTTTTATTGTCCAACTTGTTATATAATTTCATTTATGAATATTAATGTGTTAACCTATAAGTTATACAATTATTTGACCTTATATAAGCCTACCATCAGAAATTTTTAAAACATTTTAAGGGAAGTGTTATTTTCCATTTTGATTTTTTTTTAAAGCCTAATATTATACTTTTTAAATATTAATGCCTTTCTGCACCAAAATCAATAGTTGTATAGTCAGCACTATTGATTGTCATTTTTTCTTTAAATAATTTTTCACACTTTGTGACTTTGTCTATAAATATTGAATAAAGTTTTAAAAATATCTGAATGACAAATATTCAGTGACCATGATAACATTTATATTCCATATATCACAGTTCTGTTTTCTGTTAAAGCAAACAAATAATCAGTCTCCACACTCAGTTATATATGAAATGCTATGAAATGTTAGCTAGAATTTTTTTAGCTCACTGGGTCCTAAAAGTTTTTGAGTAAGATTATTGTTCTCAGAGTCAGAAATCAACCAATCAAAATACTGTATTCTAAGTTTACGCACTGAGTAAAGATTTATGATGGAAAGGCCTGCACTGTAATAAGACAAATGGATCTACAAAACAATTGATAATTTTAATTCAAAATTGAATAATACAATTCTTTGTATTCCCTTGTGTAATGTTAAAGTTCTCATTCATATAAGATAATAATTGTATCTAAATACCTTATTGTTTCGTCCTGTTTCAATATGAAAATAAGGAAATTTGGAATGATTGTCAATCAGACAACAATTCATAAGGAACCAAGAACAAAGATGTGATCAATTATAGCCTTCAACAATGATCAGAACATATAGTAAGCTATTGAAGTATCTATTTTTTACTGATATCTCTGCCCAAATCTTAAGACTTGTGTATTTTTATGATAAATATGTTACTAGTACCATCTACTGAAATTGATTTGCACACATTGACCCATAGCTGTAAGCTAGCTCAGGCAGTCATATTGGTGTAGTTAACTTATACATTTAATTGTACTCTTTATTTGTTCTTTCAGCTTTTGCAGACCAAGGTCTCCTTGGGACTAAAGAGTGTACGTATGGACCATCCTATTGGTGTAGCCATGCCTTGAATGCCAAGAAATGTGGTGCTGTTCAGCATTGTATAGATACAGTATGGAAGACACAGATCATTAAACCTAAAGATGTAAGTTTTCTTATTGCATCTTTTAACAAAATATAGTCTGTCTCTCATTTATGTAAGAGTTGTATTTCTTGGATAAGTATTCACTGTTTTCTGTTTATCATTTAATTTTGTAAATTTTTGGAAAATGAAATATTTTTCTTCAAAATGTTAATAAAGGGAAATTATAAGATAGACCTGAGTTCTGTTGCATATGAATCTGATGACTTTGTGGGTGACTGGTAATGGATGTCAGGAGGGGATTATTGCTCTCACTTTATAAACAAAATGATTCATGGATTACTTGACAATATTAAGTCAAAATTGAAGTAGGGCTGTTTTGAAGATCTGTTATATGAGGAGTCCAGAATGGGAAAAATAAAATAATCATTAGGATATATTTTGATATCAAAAATGACAAATTTCAATTTACGATTTTTGCCATATAATATAATAACAGTCATATTTTACTTACTACATTATGTAGGAAATTAATTTTAAAGTGTTTATTTTGATTTCTTTACAAATAATAAAATGATTTTTACAGATAATAGAATTAAAGAGAATAATATAAATCTTCAAAATGATATATTCAATTATTTATTAATTTTATTTGTTCCAGACATTGGAGTGTAATATCTGTAAGATTGGTATAACAGAAGCAAAGGAAAAGTTAAAGCAAGGTGGTACAGAGGTAAGGGAAAAATAAATCAGTACACAAACATGTTTCAATAGTAAGAAATAAATAAATAAAAGTGGTACAAATACAAAAAATAAAAAAACTAGAATTGTAGAAATAAGAAAAAGATATAGGAAAGTATTATGGAGTTCAGAAAACATTAAGCAACTACAGCTATAAAGATGTTAGAACAAATAAGGAGTCAATATCTTGAGAAATATATTTTTCTGACAACCATTTTTAGAGTTTTTATGCCCCCGCCGTAGTGGAGGGGGCATTAAGTTTTACCCTTGTCCATCTGTACGTAAGTACGTACATACGTACGAACGAACGTACGTACGTACGTCCCAAAATTGGTTTCCGTTCTCTAACTTTAGTTTGCCTCAACCAAATGTTATGAAACTTATACACAATGCTTATTATCACAAAACACAGATCAAGTCTGAATTTTGGTGGCGTCACTTTTACCGTTCTAGAGTTATGCCCCTTTACAAATGGAAAAATTGCGGAATTTTTCTTTTCCGTTCTCTAATTTAAGTTTGCCTCAACCAAATGTTATGAAACTTATACACAATGCTAATTACCACAAAACACAGATCAAGTTTGAATTTTGGTGGCGTCACTTTTACCGTTCTAGAGATATGCCTCTTTATAAATGGAAAAATTGCAAAATTTTTATTTTTTCGTATCTGCTTTACTTTTCTTTATGCATAGATTGTTGTATGATCTAACTTACTTTATAATTACTTATTCATTGTTGGCCTTGCTCACTTTTATAAAATGAGATGATTATGTTTTTGCAGGAGAAAATAAAGGAATACATGAATGAGGTGTGTAACCTACTTACAAGAACAGATTTAAAAAAAAAGGTAACTAGTTCGGAATTATTTTTGATATTTTAAAGTTTCAGTTTTAAAAGCAGAATGTTCCTTTGTAGGGGATTGAGAATTGGGAGAGTCATCCTGTAGCAAAGATAATGTTTCAATTACAAAATGTCTCTTTGGGTCTTTTACTTTGGTTTTTCTTGTTTTTATGCCCCACCTAGGGGCATTATGTTTTTCGGTCTGTGCGTCTGTTCGTCCGTCCGTCTGTCCGGCTTCAGGTTAAAGTTTTTGGTCAAGGTAGTTTTTGATGAAGTTGAAGTCCAATCAACTTGAAACTTCGTACACATGTTCCCTATGATATGATCTTTCTAATTTTAATGCCAAATTAGAGTTTTGACCCCAATTTCACGGTCCACTGAACATAGAAAATGATAGTGCGAGTGGGGCATCTGTGTACTATGGACACATTCTTGTTTTTTATGAACTCATTTCACTGGTAAAAAAAATACTTGACTTCGAGAAAAGCTGAACTTAACATGTCAAGAAATTAAGACAGAAATAGATAACTGAATATGTTTTGATATAATACTGGAACAAATTATTCAATAAGAAATAATATAATTACTCCTCAAAATGGTGCTATCATATAAATCAGTATAGATCCTTGTAGTATTTATCCTTTTAATGATTTATGAAAAATGAAGAAATGATCGGAAATGTAGTCATTTTAGATTTGTTTCCTATATTTCAGTGTACTGCCTTCGTCAAAACAGATCTGCCTTTGTTACTTGAGTTGCTGAAGAGTCCTCTGGTAAGGGAGATAACTAGTAATTATTTCAGAAAAAAACTTAGAAAATTTTATACATATCAATCAGCCTATTCCTTACTCATGAATTATATAAATTTTACATATTATTCCATTTGCACCATCCTTGTTATGAACATGATGAAAGACACCTGAAATCAAAATATTTTTTATCTTACCTGGCGCCAATTGGAACAATATTATAATATCCAATAATTGTCTAATAAATTTTGGCCTTTCTTTTTTATGATTAAAGATCCTGAGTTATTGAGCTGATAATAAAACATTGACAAATACTATTCATAGATACATCATTTAAACAAGTCTTGGTTGCAGACTGGTTGACTATACAAAGACAAACTGTCCTGGAATATTGCTATTGATGTTTTTCATAGATGATAAAATAAAGGATTACGGAAAACTTCATATATTGAAAACTTGGCAGACAATTTGAGCTATACCATGAAAATAACCATTATCAATATTTCTCAGTCTTTGACTTCAGTAGATATGAAATGAAAGTAACACTCTCTACGTTTTATGCACCTGAAGTGTTTTTCTGGATTAACTTTCATCAGGAATGCTCAAACCTAACAAATTGTAGAATGTTGTAGCCTTTTTTTGAGAGTCATATTTAGTCACATGTGATTAGTTTCTGGATAGTATAAAATACCAGTTTGATATTTGACTTTATTTTGTATAGACCCCAGAACAGATTTGTGCCACTTTGAAAATGTGTACTGGCTTTGAAGACTTAGTACAACATCAAAAGATATCAACACAGGTATTTACTTACTAGATTCTCATTATGCACACAAATGACTGGTATTGAACTTAATAACCAATAAGACAATGGTCTACAATACTGGTCTGTTCTCTCTCTCTTACAAATCTTTTGTATCTTAGTTATATCAATGAAAGACAAGGACTTATTTACTAGTACCCAACAGAATTACCAGACATAACTCTGCCTATTGCCTGTTTGCTAAAAATAGATTTTACAGCTGCATGAAGTGTGATAAAATAATGTTCCTCTCTACACAGTTAAATTTTCAATGAGAGCCTTGTCAAGCTTTAAAAATTTAAAGTTACCAGTCAAGATTGGAAGCTGTTTATTTATTGACTTAAAGCAATATGTAGTCAAACTTTATCTTTTTTTTTATGTGACGTCATCAGACATGTTAGTGAACTCAGAGAAACCAAGATTTGACGTCATATTTAATTTTGACCGATGAAGAGCTTAGATTAAATGAACCACATGTTGATTATAAAAAAAATAAATCAACTGTTAGAGAAAAGTATAAATCTGCAAAGGGTTAGAAATAAATCTTTTTACTTTCTTCCTAATGGCAAATATAAAAGTTATTCCAAATGACATGTGAGAGTTATAGCATCAAGTCATGCTACTTATAAGGTAGAAATAAATAAGTTCTCTTTTATTTTTAGGAAATAACAGCAAAGGCTGCTGATGTATGTACAGACTGTACAAATTTCTTCACAGATATCCAGAACATGATAGTCAGCAATGAGACACAGGTATATATCTAATAATAAGACACAGGTATTAATATATTAATAAGACACAGGTATATATCTAATAATAAGACACAGGTATATATCTAATTATAAGACACAGGTATTAATCTATTAATAAGACACAGGTATATATCTAATAATAAGACACAGGTATTAATCTATTAATAAGACACAGGTATATATCTATTAATAAGACACAGGTATTATTCTATTAATGAGACACAGGTACATATCTATTAATAAGACACAGGTATATATCTATTAATAAGACACAGGTATATATCTATTAATAAGACACAGGTATTAATCTATTTGAGTGGGGCCTCGGTGGCCGAGTGGTCTAAGTAGTTACTACTGTAATCACTAGCCAGTCAACACTGAGGTTGTGAGTTCGAACCCCGCTCGTGCAGGTGCACTTGACTCCAATCTTAATTTACTAGGATTTGTCGGTTTTCCTATCGAAGGTCAGTGGTTTTCTCCGGGCACTCCGGCTTCCTCCACCAATAAAAACTGGCCGCCACGAAATAGCCCAAAAGCGGTGCTTAAAAGTGGCGTTAAAACACCAAATATCAAATCAAATCTATTTGAGTGTTATTGCACTAATATTGAGGAATATTGTCCAAACATTAAGTTCATCTACTGTATCGCTAGCCTGTCAACACTGAAGTTGTGATTCAAGCCCCGCACATGGTAGGTGCATTCAACTCCAATATTAATTGACTCGCATTGTCAGTTTTCCTACCAAAAGACTGTGTTTTTTTCTGGGCACTACCGATTCCTCTAACAATAAAAAATTACCACCATGATATAGATTATAGTGCTTAAAGTGACGTTAAACATGAACAATTAATCAAAACGTTAAGGAGAAAGTATGGAATGCAGTACTGGTCAATATTTTGAACTCCTAGGAAATGCTATACGTTTAAGGTTCAACTATCAAAGAAGACAAGTAAAAGAACATTGCATTTCTATTTTACAAAGATAAATGAATATGATAATAATCAATGAGAATTGAGTCTCTTAAAGTGTACTGTACATCTTTTAAAATTTTACATTGAGAAAGGGCATTTATGTACAATGAGATAAAAATAGATTCCAGCACTGCATCAATTGTGTTACAATATTTCTCCACTCAAGACAGTTAAATCTTAATATTTAAAGAGCAAGGAGTGCTGACAGTGGAGAAATATAGTAATACACGAGTTATAATTGTAGTATCTGTTTCTCTAATGATTTTACAAAGTTTAACCTTCTTTTTCAAAGATTTGCAGAAAGTTGTGTTCTTTATATGTGACGGCATCAGGCATGGTCACCTTTTTTCATGACGTCACAATAGGAAATTCAGAAGAAACCAAGCAAATTTGATGTCATAATTAAATTTCGACCAATCATTTGCTGAGAACAAAGTTTTCTCTCTAGAGATGAGAAATATTTATCTCACACCGATCGAGAAATGTGAAAAAAGCATAAAAATTATAGAAAACATGATCTTGTATGTGAATAACAGGTCAGTTTTCATACTTTAAAAACTGCTGACTCGGGTGTAAAAAAAAAATGATTATTTCATTTCATTTTATTTTATATATTTGTTTGTTTCTTCTCTTTGTAGGAACAGATAGAAGCTATGTTGAAGCAGACACTTTGTTCACAACTACAGTCTATAAAGAGCATGGTATAAATAATTTACTTTACCTTTAATTAATTTCTTCAAAATATATATGACTGATCTCCAGTCATTTTAGAACTTACTAGTGTTTGTCTTACTGTTATTTTTTTCTCTTTCTCAAAAATCTTCTTATATAATCAGTGGGCAAATTTTGACCAAATTAAATAAAAATCAATTGTCCTGTCATTTTAGATTTATTAGGATTCGTGGTCATTTTAGATTTATTGGGAAATCGTGGTCTAGATTTCTTGGGAAATTGTGGTCATTTAAGATTTATTGGGAAATCATGGTCATTTTAGATTTACTGGAAAATTGTGGTCATTTTAGATTTCTTGGGAAATTGTGGTCATTTTAGATTTCTTGGGAAATCGTGGTCATTTTAGATTTATTGGGAAATCGTGGTCATTTTAGATTTATTGGGAAATCGTGGTCTAGATTTCTTGGGAAAGGTCCAGTATGAGCAATACCTAATACTTTGGATTTGTGGGTTGTTCTTCCTGCAGCCAGTCTGCTTCATTAATTTCTCTAAAACTTCTCCTTCTCTTAGGCATTCCAAAATTCCTGCCCATCATCCCAGTAATTCATCTATTACATTATCTATAACTTTATTTTTTCAGTGTAATTTTGTAGTAGAGGAATACACACCAGAAATCTTACAGTACCTAGGACAAACAGTTGTAAGTCTACTTATATAAAATATTATCTTACTTAATGTTAGTTTTAAGCAACATAAATGCAAGAAGTACATTCAGCATGAATGGGGGAAACACTTCTTGCTTATAATGTGGCATGTCACTTGCTTTCAATTGGATTAAAATTTTAAATGAATCCAGTTCATATAATTTCAGTAAAATTAACTGAATTAGCTTTTGCTGAATAATTTAATTATAGAATAAAATGAATCATCAAAGTCATTGATTTTACAACATAAAATTTGCCATTTATAAGTTAACAGTGAATAGATAACTTTCAAATTCATGCCCTTTAAGTAAATTTCCTATGTCACAATGCTTGTGTTATTACGTCACAGTAAGAACCGATTGTTTGATGATGCCGTTTACGGGTAAATCCAGGGTCAATCAGTGTAACTTTTAAACAGATATATCATGTTAAGGAGGGGTATTTGCGAAAAATACCAGTCGAGAGAATGTTAAATTTCGCGAGCCGTAAGGCGAGGGAAATTCATTCTCAAGACTGGTATTTTTCGCAAATACCCCTCAAGAACATGCTATATCTGTTTAATTACACTGAATGTTAACGTACAAAACGCATTGATGATCGTGACATAAAACGCATTGATGATCGTGACATTACAAGCGTCCAGTCGGATAGAGTATTTTTTGGTAAATACCACGGCAGAGAGGGTAAGAAAGGCATATCCTTTTTGCATATACCCCAGCGCTGTTAAAAATGAACGATATTCATTTGATAAAAGTAAATTGGTGAAAAATACACTGGCTGTCAACCAATCAAAACCCAGGATTCTTACATAAGGTGTAATTATTCTTAAAAAACTACTCAAGATTAGTATATGAATACAGACATGTACTTGGAAATGGTAATCAAATTTTGTCTGCCTACAAAGAAAATCTCATAAATAAAACTTAGGTATGCTGTTTCCTGCATTATCAGTGTGGGCAGACTCAAAAATGGGTAAAGTTTATGATAAGGGAACACATGCAAAAACATATAGCTGTGTAAACTGTATTATCTTTATAAGATATGAAAGTTTGTAACAGCACCACTTGGTAAGTGTAATACAGGTATTGTAGGTGATATTAAACATATTGTAAAAGTGAGAGAAAATGGAGACTTGTGATAAAATGTTTAAAATTTCTTTTCCAGGATCCCAAAACAACATGTAGGATACTTGGTTTCTGTAACAACAAAGGAGACTTGTTTACTGCTTTGAGAATCAGGATGCAGAATAAAGAAACATTCAGGAAATTTAACAAGGTACAGTATATAATCTTTACATCAAATATATTATTTCATTTTAAGACATGATTTGACAAATGTCAAGATTTTGGAGAAGACATCTTTTTGGGTTAAAGATTGTATTCATGCAATCCTTATGTGGCTGGATTGATAGTTATCAATTTTCCAAACTTTATCACTACTTTTGAGATACACAAAATATAGTGCATTGATCATAACATTCTATACATCCTATCCATGAACATTTTCAGGAATTTATCAATGAAATATATGCTCAGATATTCCAGTTACAAAATGTTATACTTGTCAAGAAAATTACATAACTTGTGCAAGATGCAGGAATCTTAATATCTGTTCTAAAAATACCAATGATGTCATTGTTAAAGTCATCTCTAAGATTTGAGTTATTGTCCTTTGTCCATAATTGTAGGTAAAACAACTACAAATGTGCAACCTATGCTTTGTTGTCTAAAAAGCGAGACATAGGTTTGCTGTTTCTGTGTTGGCGGCGGCGGAGGTGTCAACAATGTATTAGTTTGTGATTAGGTCTAGTTTATGGTGAACCACAAGTTGTAGGTCAATGATATTTGGTAAGCAGTTGTATTAGCATTGGCACATCTCATTACAATGGAGATTATATGGCCCCGCCCCCTCAGTCATGGTCTATTGACTTTGAAACTTTGATTAGTTTACATGTATTAGTTTGTGATTAGGTCAGTTTATGGGAACCACTAGTGATAGGTCAATGATATTTGGTATGCAGTTGTATAAGCATTGGCATATTTCATTACCATGGAGATTATTTGGCCCCGCCCCCTCAGTCATGGTCTATTGACTTTGAAACTTTGCTTAGTTTTCATGTATCAGTTTGTGATTAGGTCAGTTTAAGGGGAACTGTAAGTGTTAGGTCAATGATAATTGGTATGCACTTGTATACGCATTAGCACATCTCATTTCCATGGAGAATATGTTGTCCTTACTGCTCAGCCGTGGTCTATTGACTTTGAAACTTTTGCCGAGTTTACATGTATTAGTTTGTGATTAGGTCAGTTTAAGATGAACCACTAATGTTAAGTCAATGATATTTGGTATGCAAATGTATTGGCATTTGCAAGTTTCATTTCCATGGAGATTATATAACCCCACCCCCTCATTATGGTTCATTGACTTTGAAACTTTTATATAGTTTACAAGTTAAATGTTTGTGTTTAGGTTTGTTTAAAGGGAACAACTTATGAAAAGTCAATGGTATTTGGTATGCAGTTGTATTAGCATTGGCACATCTCATTTTGATGGAGATTGTTTAGCCCTGTATCTTAAGTCATGGTTCATTGACTTTCAATAATTGCATAACTTAAATGTTATTGCTATTTTTAATTTCAACATTGCATTATCAAAATAACAAATAGACGAGACATATCTCTTTGTTAACAGTTTATACAATGCAATGTTTGATAATACTACCCACTGATAAATTAAAGCAATCTTTACCCTTCGGAGCTTGCAAGCACTTTGATTATAAATACTTAAAGACTGAAATATGGATGCAGAATATTGAAATCTTCAAGAAATTTAACAAGATTGATAGACTTTATGTTTTAACTACTGTACCAATATGTCAGAGATGTTACCTGTAATGATAGGTTCACAGCATCTATCTCAGACCAGTCAGAACCATAAGTCCTTATGAATCATTATCCTTTCCTTTCGATGTGGCCTACGACTGATACATGTAATGGTATTACAGTATAAAGGATTATTCTTAATAAAGTTAATACACAAATGTCTCATTGGCAATCATACCACATCTCGTTATTTTTACATTATTTGTTATTCAGAAAGCTATTGGAGGACAAGAAGAATGTGATGTATGCAAAAATGTGATGACCGATGTCCAGTCTCTAGATAGAGACCCTACTACACAGGTATGTTAGATCTTTAAGAAAGTTTCATAACTACACATGAAAGTCGAGTATCCCCAAAAAGAGATTCCATTACATATATAAGTAAATTCCTTTGAATAAGTTACCTTATTTAACAGACAATTACTGTAAATTCAGTAATTATTGTGCACATTTATTATTGCAATTGTTTGTCTTAAGTGAAATTTCCATGATTAATGAATGCAATTTCAGGAAAGACTGCAAACAAACAATATCAACAAAATTTAAAAGAGGACTTGTGCTTAATGCAATGCTTATACGGTTGCAATTTTTGCAATAATGGAAACATTGCTAAAATTTCTGAATTTGCAGTAAAAAACATAAATTTATTAGTTCCTTGCCTACATCACATTTTTCATGAACAAACATCAGGTATGGCCATGACTAAGTAACTAAGTATGTGGATGTAAAAATGTATGTGATCTATACAGTCAAACTTACCTTAAGGGTCACCTTGTTTCAGTGGTCCCTTGAGCGGTCAATTTTGATACTTCCCATGAGTGACTGCATTTGATTACTTTTTGTCGAGCCTGCGACTTTTGTCGCAGAAAGCTCGACATAGGGATAGTGATCCGGCGGCGGCGTTAGCTAACTTCTTAAAAGCTTTATATTTTAGAAGGTGGAAGGTCTGGATGCTTCATACTTTGTATATGGATGCCTCATGTTACGAAGTTTCCGTCAGTCACATGTCCAATGTCCTTGACCTCATTTTCATGGTTCAGTGACTACTTGAAAAAAAAGTTAAGATTTTTTGTAATGTTAGATTCTCTCTTATTATAAGTAATAGGATAACTATATTTGGTATGTGCTTACCTTGCAAGGTCCTCATGCCCGTCAGACAGTTTTCACTTGACCTCAACCTCATTTCATGGATCAGTGAACAAGGTTAAGTTTTGGTGGTCAAGTCCATATCTCAGATACTATAAGCAATAGGTCTAGTATATTCGGTGTATGGAAGGACTGTAAGGTGTACATGTCCAACTGGCAGGTGTCATCTGACCTTGACCTCATTTTCATGGTTCAGTGGTTATAGTTAAGTTTTTGTGTTTTAGTCTGTTTTTCTTATATTGTATGCCATAGGTCTACTATATTTGGTGTATGGAATGATTGTAAGGTGTACATGTCTATCGGGCAGGTGTCATCTGACCTTGACCTCATTTTCATGGTTCAGTGGTCAAAGTTAAGTTTTTGAGTTTTGGTCTTTTTTTCTAATACTATATGCAATAGTTCAACTATATTTGGTATGTGCGTACCTTGCAAGGTCCTCATGCCCGTCACACAGTTTTCACTTGACCTCGACCTCATTTCATGGATCAATGAACAAGGTTAAGTTCTGGTGGTCAAGTCCATATCTCAGATACTATAAGCAATAGGTCTAGTATATTCGGTGTATGGAAGGACTGTAAGGTGTACATGTCCAACTGGCAGGTGTCATCTGACCTTGACCTCATTTTCATGGTTCAGTGGTTATAGTTAAGTTTTTGTGTTTTGGTCTGTTTTTCTTATACTGTATGCCATAGGTCTAGTATATTTGGTGTATGGAATGATTGTAAGGTGTACATGTCTAGCTGGCAGGTGTCTTCTGACCTTGACCTCATTTTCATGGTTCAGTGGTCAAAGTTAAGTTTTTGAGTTTTGGTCTTTTTTTCTAATACTATATGCAATAGGTCATCTATATTTGGTGTATGGAAATATTTTATGATGTACCTGTCAGTCTTGCAGGTTTTATTTGACCTTGACCTCATTTTCACGGTTCATTGCTCAGTGTTAAGTTTTTGTGTTTTGGTCTGTTTTTCTAATACTATAAGCAATAGGTCAACTATATTTGTTGTATGGAAGGATTGCAAGCTTTATTACATGTCTGCCTGGCATTGTTCATCTGACCTTGACCTCATTTTCTTGGTTCATTGGTCAATGTTTAGTTTTCTTGGTTAAGTCTGTATCTTAGAAACTATAAACAATAGGTCAACTATATTTAGTGTATTGAATGAATGTAAGGTGTACATGTATTTCTTGTTTGGTTTATATGACCTTGACCTCATTTTCTTGGATCATGTTAAGTGTATGTGATAGTTGTAGTAAAGCTTTATATTTAGGACTATCAACATAATATCAATGATTAGTAAAGAAGGCGAGACATTTCAGCGTGTGCACTCTTGTTTAAATTAACATACTTTTTAGTTTGGTCAAAGTCTGGTATTACATTGAAATATAATTTCCAGGGTAAAATTAAAGACTTTGTGAAGAAAGAATTATGTAGCAGACTTGGAGGCCTAGCCAGTGAGGTAAGAGAAATACATTTATATATTTGATCTATCACATCAGTTTCACAACTATTACAAGGGTACTGTGATGTTGTGACATTCTTTGATCAGATTTCCAGTCACCCTGACTTACATTGTAGTCAGAAGATTGCAAAGCTTACTTGTATTTGTTTGTTTCTTTATGTCTTGTAATTAAAACAGGAAAAAATATAATTTCCTTTCCTACTCTAATTTCCTTGACTAATACAACTAAAGGCATTAAATTAATATTGTAAAACAAATAGAAAATCTGCTTCGCCTATTTTGATAACTGTGTCAATTACATTACATGCTTTGTGGGTTTGCAGAAATAATTATATCGTTATTCAAAGGATTAACATACACTACAAACTTTCACCATCTTAATCTTTTTCAGTGTTCCAGTCTGGTAGATGAGTATGCTTCAGTCCTCTTTGAGTTGTTGGCAAATGAGTTGGTGAGTTCTTTTACAGCATTAACCATTTTTATGATGACCTGTTTTCTTTTCTTCAAAATGTCAACTCTGTTAAGCTAGTTACAGATCTGGAGGGATTTCAGTTTAAGTATTAATTTAAGAAAAATAAATTGGATTGGGAAACAATCAGGGATTTTGTAAATGTGTTAGCATTACTACAGTGAAATAGCTTGATGAATATTACTTTTATCTCAGATATACCAGTCTACTGACAATGTTGATTTCTGTAGCTAATAATTTCAGTAAAAAGCTTTTGTAACAATCTGAAGACCTAAAACTAATATTGTACTTCTTGTCTATATTTAGGACCCTGAAACAGTGTGCAGCTTTGTAGGATTCTGTAGGGCAGTTGAATTGAAAAAGCCATCAATATCTGTTGTATCCCTAACTAAATCAGAACCCATTATAGCCTTGGACATCACTCCTGCCATGCTTATCCACGACACCAATCCAGTGAAGACCTCAGGTGTTTATTGCGATATATGTAAAGTTGCAATGAATGAACTGGATTCTATCCTCGCCAAGAACGCTACAACAGTAAGTAGTATTATACTGAAGTACTTATTATAGGGAAGATATTTCTAAAAAGCAAGTTAATTTAGGGAAAAAAGAATGCTGTAAAATGTAAAATCAGAAAATTATTTGCCTGAAACAATTATATTTGAAAGCTGTAAAAAGTACTATTGTTCTGTAGAATCTTTAATTGCATGCATTTTGTAACTTTTAGAATGACAGTAAAAAGAAATCATATTGGTGTGAAATGATAAAGGTATTGAAGAATAAACTTTTAGAATGACAGTAAAAAGAAATCATATTGGTGTGAAATGATAAAGGTATTGAAGAATAAACTGTAGAATATATATACTGTATGATCATTAGTAACTCTAGTTTTCACATCCACGAATAGTGCATCAACATTAACCCTGGTAGGAGGAGATGATGGACTCAACATGAAAATAGTATTTAGTGCATTTTCTAACTTCATTTTTCCTACATATATATATATATTACTTAAAATTACCAATAAACAATTTTTAAATTAACAGGCCCAAATAGAAGCAGCTTTGAACCAGCTCTGTGACCGTTTACCTGGTGGATTGAAGGACCAATGTACATCTTTTATCAATCAGTATGCTCCAGCCATTCTGGAACTCCTACAACAAGAACTCAATCCCACTGTTGTCTGTGACAAGTTAGGACTATGTACACCAATGAAATCAAACATCAGTAAGTCAGAGTATTCAGATTTAGATTTATATAAACATATGTCGTAAAAAAATCATTTGGACTTAAATCTTGTTGTAGCTATTGCTATTTTATTTTTTACTTGTCAATGTGTATGATAATATTTCTTTTTTTTACTCTCATAATTCAAAACTAAGACTGTTAAAATAATTCCTTGATTCTCTTTCAACATTTGCGACATGGGAGAAATTTTAAATTGTTATAAACTATTTTACATCACGAGACTTGGATATGTGACGAATATTTAAACATTAACTGAGCTAAATTTGATTTTGATTTTTCTCTAAAATTAGATTTTTCAGAGGCGAAAGAAGTTTCTCCTAGCATGCAACAATACTCTTTAAATAGTATTGGAAAAAAGAAAAGGAATTTGATTAAATTGAGGACAATTATTTTTAAATATTTTTTGAGAAAACTAATGGAAGGCTGTGAGCGACAAAAAACATTTCGTACATAATTTGTGCTTAGTGTTTATATACCAGTTAACATCACCCATAAGAAAACTCGATCTTCTTTGCTTCTTAATTCATTCTCTGACACATAAACTTTGAAATGAAGAGTTAGTAATCTTTAGATGTTTGTTAATTGATTTCTTGTAGAATTTAGTTCTTCTTTGCTTCTTAATTCATTCTCTGACACATAAACTTTAAAATGAGAGTTAGTAATCTTTAGTTGTTAATTGATTTCTTGTAGAATCCAGTGTTTCAGCATCAGTAGAATGTGTTCTCTGTGAATATGTACTGTCCACTGTAGAAAGACAGTTAGGCAATAACAGATCTCTGGTTAGTCAAATATACAGTTAATTATTTCAGTATACACCTGTCACTCTAAATAAGGTGTCTGAGTGTGTGTAAAGTGATTACCTGTTTCTGTTAGTAAATGTTTGTGAAATCATTGAGTTGTTCTAATAGTGAATTATCTGTGAGTTGAGTACTTTTTTCATTTAATGACTTACCCATGTAGGGATTGTATGGTTATGTGTGTTATTTGTTTGTATAGTGATGAGATTGGTTTGTTGTTGAAGTATGGGAATTATTGTTATTAGGTTCGTATGTGTATCGGTGGTTCTGTTAGTGAATTGCAGTTCCTGCTTCAGCAGTAATAAAATTCTATTTGATCATTGCAAGTAAAAATATGAAAATAAGGAGATGTGGAATGATTGCCGATGAGACAACTCTCCACCGGAGATCAAAGACAATGGATGTAAGGAAGATTACTATAAAGTTGTGATTTCATCAACTTGAAAGTACACATGTTTATTTTGAAGTGATCTTTTTGAAATATGAGCCAAATTAGAGTTCAGAGGAAGATTTTGCAGTTCACTAAACTTTGAAATTTTATGGTGCAAACAGATGTCCTATGAATACAAATTCTTGTTTTGAGTATTGTAACACAATGACACCTTGTGATTGCCAATGACTCTGGGACTGTTTGCCTGAAAGCTTTTATAGTTTGTCATGTGTAGTGAATTTAAAAATAAGAAGATGTTGTATGATTGTCAATGAGATAACTCTCCATAAGAGACCAAATGACACAGAAATAAACAACTATAGGTCACCACACAGCCTTCAACAGGGAGTAAAACCCATACTGCATAGTCAGCTATAAAAGGCCCCGAAATGACCAATGTAAAACAATTTAAACAAGAAAACTAACGGCCTGATTTATGTACAAAATAATGAACCAAAAACAAATATGATATACAGCAACATACAACAACCACTGAATTACAGGCATACTGTATCATTATTTTGATAATCTTGGCGTACACAGTTTTTTGGGACATTTGGCTATGATAAATCCATTGTGTTGAACATGTTTCTCTGACTTCTTTACTTTCAGGCTGTGATTAAAGCTGCCCTTGACAAAGTCTGTAGTATAATGCCTGGCACCATCAGCCAAGAATGTATTTTATTTGTCAGCAAGTATGAACAGTTGATAATCAACCTTTTACTTAAAGAAGTAAAACCATCTGAGGTATGCAAGGCCCTTACCTTGTGCACTGCCTCAGTCAAGTCTTTACCAAAACCAGCAATTCTGATGAGAGGGGAACCAGTTCTCATACCACAACGGATCAAAACATTACCCAAACCTGTATCTGGAATTCTTCTGCAAGGTGAACCAATCATGAATAAAAGTAAGTGTATGTTCTGTAAACCAAATAATTTTCTAGAGCCATTTATTTACAGAAATTTTATTGACAGAAAAAATAACTGCAATATAGATCTAAGTTATAAAATACTTTTAAAATATAAAAATATTCATGGGTTTGTGCTTGGCTTTGCTAGTGTCACCAACTGCAATTTTATATTTTTCCAGCCTGGATAAAAAATATATAGCATTTGGGACATGAGTCAAAAGCTTGCTTGAGTGCACAGGGGTCAAAGTTCACAATCCACTTCTGTCTTGTCAGTCTTCAGAGATTGTGCTATTATTTAAATTCAGTCCTATAGGGCTATTGTTAAATCACATATTTAGTTTCACAAAAAGGTATCTTGACCTCAAAAGTAGATATATTATTGATGCTGGTTAACATAATGAAATTCTGTATGACAAAAAGATTTATATACATACAAAATGTCAAGACAAAAAATCAATTGGCATGCTGCACTCTGCTTAGCCTGATATGTTTGACAAGCATTCATGTTCGAAGGTACCTTTTATGTTTAATCTCTCCACTGATCAACACATATAAATTTAAGTAGGAATACCTTTGGAGCTCTAGAGTGCATTTTTGCAATATTTCATTATTTTTACCAGAGAACACAATGAAAAGCGCTGAAGGATGTTTAGTCTGTGAGACCTTGATGAACTACCTTTCTGAAGCATTGAAGGAAAACAAGACTGCAGCAGCCATCAAATCTTTGTTAGAAAAAGCATGTGACCTTCTACCTACATCCATGGCAAATGAAGTAATTATTTTATAGTTATATCTTTTAAGTTTGTATTTTGTATGACTTGTATTCATTTTCACAAAATTAGTTGATCAAAAATTATTTTTATAGGACCGCAAAATTTTTTTTCGGATCGTATAATGGTATGATGTCGTCGTCATCGTCTGCGTCTGTGTCTGCATCGTCGTCCGAAGACACATTGGTTTCCGGACAATAACTTTAGTTTAAGTGAATGGACCTCCATGAAATTTTTTAAGAAGGTCCAATACCACAAAAGGAAGGTTGGGATTGATTTTGGGGATGATGGTCCCAACCGTTTAGGAATTAGGGGCCCAAAACAAGCATTTTTCTAGTTTCAGGATAATAACTTGTGTATAAGTATTTCGATTGCTCTGAAGTTGTACCACAATGTTTAATACCACAAGTAAAAGGTTGGGATTCATTTTAGGGGTTATGGGGCTAACAGTTTAGGAATTAAGGGCCAAAAAGGGGCAAAAAACAAGCATTTTTCTAGTTTCCAGACAATAACTTGTGTGTAAGTGTATGGATCTCTCTGACATTGTACCACAAGGTTCCATATAACAAAGGGAAGGCTGGGATTAAATTTGGGGTTAATTGCCCCAAACATGTAGGAATTAGGGGCCAAAAACAAGCATTTTACTAGTTTCCAGACAATAACTTGTGTGTAAGTGTATGGATCTCTCTGAAATTGTACTACAAGGTTCCATACTACAAAGGAAAGGCTGGGATTGAGTTTTGGGGTTATTGCTCCAAGGGGGGTTTCAAAAAGTTAGGGGGGGGGGGGGATTTTTTTCCCAATTTTTTTAAGGGATTCATATTTTTTTTTCAAAATTTTTAAAATTTCGAATTTTTGAAAAGTTTCAAGAAGAAATCTTCAATTGCACAGTATTGCCCAATGGATTTATAAGATCTTTGACCACATTTATTTTGTGTCAGAAACCTATATTATGTCAAAATTTGATCACAATCCAAATTCAGACAGTATCAAGCTTGAATATTGTGTCCAAATTTGCCCCAACTGTTCAGGGTTTGCCCTCTGCGGTCGTATCAGGATGCGCTCAGCGAAGCATTTTATTTTGAATAGTATGGACACAAATTAGTATAGTACAATACTGTTCCTTTAAAGAGTAAATGATACCAAATTATCTTATTCTGTAGATAATTATATTCCAATATATGCGATACAATCTTATTCTGTAGATAATTATATTCCAACATATGTGATACGAAATTATCTTATTCTGTAGATAATTATATTCCAATATATGTGATACGAAATAGTTTATTCTGTAGATAATTATATTCCAATATATGTGATACGAAATAGTTTATTCTGTAGATAATTATATTCCAATATATGTGATACCAAGTCAAATATAAAACACATAAATCAGACAGTTGGTTTTCTCTATTGAATTGTTTTACACTCTGTCATGCCTTTTATAGCTTACAATACAGTATGGGTTTTGCTCAATGTTGAAGGCAGTATAGTGCCCTACGTCCCTACCTTTAGTCTCTTGATGTATTGATGTCTCAGTGGCCACATCTAATTACTTTTATATTTACACACAAGTACAAACAAAATTAGAAAAATGCTTCATAAACACAGGATAAAACCAAATTTTTACATGTAGGTTATCAAATAAATCAATCAAATTATCATATGATTTCAAAAAAAAATTGTTTTAATATCTCTCTTGTCTTTTTCAGTGCCAAGGAATAGTGATTGCATTTGGAGATATCATAATCAAGGAACTGTCCCAGGAGATAGATCCTAAACAAATCTGCAAGGTAAATTTAATTGATATCTCCCCTCAGGAGACATAAATAACCAATTGTCTCCCCTTGGGTGTGTTCGTCAAGAGAGATAGATCTTAAGCAAATATGTTCGTTTGATATAAAGGACCTTTACATATCCATATTTGAGATCTTTACTGCCATATTAAGCCTTGGAAGGAGAGCAAAAATAACAAAGAATTTGACAAATGCAAGAATTTACATCTTTTCATGAGTTAAAACATTCATGACTAACAGTCCCCAAATGTATGAAAGCTTCCACTTTATAGGGAGCTTCAAAAGGTTCTATTACAAGGAGCATTGATTCTGTTAAAATAAAGTAAAATATTAGAGTAGTATTTCAGTATAGAAAATTAATTTTATTGGTACATTAAGGAATATTTGTTTCTTTTTAACAGGACATAGACATGTGCACATCATCGAGGATCAATAATCAACTTCCAAAGAAAGCATCAGCTGCCTTCAAGGAGGAGCTCAAAAATTTTCTTAGGAATGATAACAGACTGTACTACAAACCAAAGAATCTTGGCAAGAAAAAATGTGGGTTTGGTCCTTCTTATTGGTGTAAAAGTATGGAAACAGCAAAGGAATGTGGAGTAAGTTTTATTTATGTTAGTTTTCTGTTAGGTAGGGTATATGTATATATCTGTGTGTAATGTTTATTTTGATTAGATATAGCCACACATTTAAGGACATCAGTTCTATGATTGATAGTATGTTGTTATGCGCACATGCTTAGAATTCAGGTGACTGTTTTTTGGGTAACGATTGCATGAAATGCAATCAAAACCCTATGGTACTGACTATATATCTAAATCTTCCAAGGTTTATCACTACTTTTGAGATACACACAATATAGTGCATTGATCATAACATTCTAAACATCCTATCCATGAACAGTTCCAGAAATTTATCAATGAAAAATATGCTCAGATGTTCAAGTTACAAAATGATGTTATACTTGTCAACAAAAATACATAACTTGTGCAAGGTGCAGGAATCTAATATCTGTTCTAAAAATATCAATGATGTCATTGTTAAAGTAATCTTTAAAATTGGAGTTGTCTTCCTTTGTCCATAATTGTAGTTGAATCAACTACAACCAATGCTTTATTCAATGCAATGTTTAATTTTACTTCCCACTGATAAATTAAAGCAATCTTTACCCTTCAGTGCTTACAAGCACTTTGATTAACTGATTGGTTATAAGTGTTTTCTTTCAGTTACATAAAAATTGTGAGAATAGTATTGTTTTTGAAGATTTTCAGGCATCAAATATATGCAATGGTTGCAAATGTCTGATTTATGGCATACAGTAAACTGAATTTTCTACAATCAAAAAGTTAAAAACTGAAATCTTCAAATGCAGTACTGTCATCTCCTTAAAATGTTATATGTGAATTTGGATTTCCAATCTTAAACCTTAAGTAAGTGTATCTGTTAAAAGGTAGTCAAGAAACTGCTTTGTGTACAAAAATAATATGTATTTTTCAATTGGTAAAATGTTTAGAAAAAAATCCACAAGATTTTTATCAATATTGTTTTATATTGTAGATGGTTGAACACTGCAAGGATGTATGGAGTAGAAAATAAGATCTGACTTAAAACCAACACAACTAACATGACATCTCCACTTTACAGTGCATTTGAATTATATCTCTTAACAGTTGTTATTAAAAATATATTATTTTATTCTTTAAAGAAAATATATCAAGTTTCCATAAGACCAAGAATTTTTTATAAGGAAGCTTCCTTTGTATTTTTAATATGCTAATACTGCGTCCAATGATAGATCTGTATTCTAAAGACTACAAAAATTGTAATATATAAATTGATTTATTAAAATCGTTAATTTGCAATTTAAGGGAAGGGAATATCTTAAAAGATTTTGTCTGTTAATTCATAAAGAAATGAAAGAAATTATGATAAAAAGAGGAATAATCACAAACTGAATTTGCATAATTTACATTTGAGTTTTATACAATGAAGATGTTGAATATGCAGTAGAAAGCACTATTGTGATGAACTTTTGTAATGAACTTATTTCTTTAGGAAAAGTACTGCTTGTAAATATTTGTTTTAATGTATTTATACTTTACAGAATATTAACATGCTTTAAAAATTTTATATTCATTTTGATGGACAATTACTATTTATACTTTAAAGTTTTGTATGAAAATATCTTGTTTCACATCCATATCTATCTGTAGGAAGTAAAAAGTTAAAAAATTGTTAAATAAAAAAGACTTATTTACATTAAAAAAAATAGTACAAGCACATGAATATAATTATGACTGTTTAAAGTAAAATATAAATAAATGAAATACTCCCTGACCACACTTTAATGAATTGACAAGGATTACATTTTTATAGCCTTTGTAAGAATTGAGTCTCATAATATGACTACCGGTATAATCCCTATGCATTTTTATAGATCAGATTTAACATTGTATAATGATACAGGAAATGACAGCCTAGTGATGAAGACTATGCTGCATATTGAAAAATGAAAAGATCTTTTATAGTAATAAAAACGTCTACTTGAATTTAAGCATTTGTGGTGTCTTGGTAGTAATTACACATAATACACGAAATCCTTTAGTTTGCAGTTATTTGATGAGTTGATATTTAAATAGGAGTTTAGATGAATTTATGTAGAAATTAAGTTATAGATTATTCCCAGTGGTTGAGGATAATTTATGACATTTGTAATAGCACAACAGCAACATATGTGCTGCAAATAATGTGTAAATACTTTGTAAATATTTGATGAGATTTTCATTATGTTAACTATAATAGTTATTCCCCCTTTAATTGAACAGCTTGTCATTACCATATCAGAAGTTTAATGTGTTGATATAGAGATCTCATTCAGATTTTACAGATAAAAATAAATCACAGAAAAAATTATGTTTTTTAGTAATTGTTCAGTGTTTAAAATGGGAAAAAAACCACCAAAGTAATCATACCTTCAATTGTCTTGTAGGTTTTTTGTGTCAACGAGTTGTCTCATCGACTTATACCAAAATACATAAGTATATGTGTATATTTTTTTCATTTTTATAGAAAAGACAAAAATATTTGGAAATTTCCATATAGGGGTCAATATATTGATTTTGTTTAACATTATACAGTTTGATGTGTATACAAATATATCAGAATATGTTCTCATTAAAAAACTTTTTACATGTAACTAACAAAAATACTCCAGCAAAGGTCTTTTCAATCTATAGCTTATAATTTAGTCATCATAGCTATTTTGCATTTATGAACAAACTTTAGAATAGCACAGTTTAACATAGGTATCTCTGCTTTGAATAAAAGAAAAAATCTTCTTTCTTTGCCTTGATAATAAATGTCTTAGCTTTTGACAGGACCAACACTCTCATTGATCAAATTCAATCTTATCTAAGTTATCGGGATCATAATATGGTGGTCGATATATAATGTATTGAAAATAAATCAAACCAGAAGTTTTATTTTGAACAAATGTAATGTTCCTGGCCTATAAAACATCATAAATACTTTGTAATGTTTTCTGCAGAAATTTAACTGATGAAGAAGATTCCTTTAAAATCTAGAAATGTATAATTTCATTTGATTGTACATCAATCATTTCAGCAGTAACATTTCTGAAATATTGTGCTGGTAACAATATGTTAAAGGTAGTAAACACCAGTTATTTCCCTTTACTAATGACGATATTGATTTTGATGTATGATTTGAAAACTTTGTTATTGCGTATGTATGTTACCGTAACATTGTTACGGCTGTTTTGCAATAAAACATTCCTTTCTCTAACCTACTTGTTTTATACCACCCCCTCCAAAAATGCTGTGTTTGCTTCTAGTACTGCAATTTGTATCCAAAATTCCTCCTATTAAGCCATTAACAATAATAATTAAGGCTTGCTGTTCGGTGTCAGCCAAGGCTCCCTGTTGAAGGCCGTACTTTGACCTATAATTGTTTTTTACTTTTTATACGACCGCAAAAATTTTTGTGGTCGTATTATTACTTGTATATTGGTATGACGTTGGCGTCGTCATGGTCGTCGTCGTCCGAAGACACATTGGTTTTCGCACTCTAACTTTAGTTTAAGTGAATGGATCTCTATGAAATTTTACCACAAGGTTCAATACCACAAAAGGAATGCTGGAAATGATTTTGGGGGTAATTGCCTCAAAATTTTAGAAATTAGGGGCCAAAAAAGGGGTAAAAAACAAGCATTTTTCTTTCTGAAATTGTACTACAAGGTTCCATATCACAAAGGGAAAGCTGGAATTGAGTTTGGGGGTAATTGCCAAAACGTTTAGGAATTGGGGGCCAAAAAGGGGCCAAAAATAAGCATTTTTGGGAAAATGACGCTATCAGCGGCATGTTTCCGATACCATTGACCAGAACTTACGGAAGTCGATTATTGCCTCCGCCTACCGCACTCGGTTTCATATTTACTATTTTACATACTAACTGGAATCTGCTTGTATTACGCTACACTCGAACAAAGTGTTGTAGTCGGACGGTTACAGTTTACATACTTTAATTTATTTACCAAAAAGATATCTTGACCTGTGCATAAGTTTTTTGTTATTAAATGGTATTTGGAGCTATCCCTTTGTTATATTTTTCATATTTACATGATAAATAGATCCGTTTTGTTATGGTGTTGGACTTTTTACCCTCCAATGATCAGCAATCGCTAGACAAAATAGTTCTCCTAAATAATGTCAGCCTTTCATGCCATTTCAACTTTACAATCATTAAAAAAAGTGAAAATCGGAATCATTTTGATATCCATTGGATAGAAACTGGTCTTTATCCAGATTTACGAAGATTTTAAAAATCGGAAATTAGTAATACGGTTATACCCACGCGGTGCGTATGAATCTTTGTTTACAAAACAGGATTTCGGAACGTCTCTAGTTTTTAGATCGTAAGTCACGATAAACTCAAACTGAAAGTAAACAGTTGTTTGTAAGACGCAGGTTTACTCACCATAAACAAGATGAAACGTTCAGTATGGCATATATTTTAGGTTAAAGACGGTCCCATTCATTTAAAAAGCATTTTGAAAGTAGACGATGGGATTATTTCAGGTTTGGGGAACGAGTATATTATCACAAAGTTCATTTCTTGACGACCTCATAATTTCATCATGTCGATTGTACAAATCGATTTTTACTGTTTACTGTCGCTTCTCATGTTTTGTATTTAAACGGTCGTTTATTTTTAAACCCGAACCAGGCATATGCATTCTGTAATTGTGCAAATCTTCGTTCTTTGGTCAATTGGCTTATGGATAGTTGTATCAATTTCAACTCTTACATTATTATTTTTTTTAAATATATTTGCATTACACATGCAATGGCAGTACCTTTCCAATTACAATTTATGTGTTGTGTCTAAATTAAAGTTGTAACACTTTATAGTGACTGGAAAGGGTAGAAAAATTCATCAGATGAGAAAAGGCTGAAGATACTTCAAACGGCACCGAATCATTAGATATTGCATCTTATAAAAAGAAACTGAGATTTGGATAGTTCCACTTCAAGGTAAAAATGTTTATCTCTTGTGAAATGAAATAAAAGAAATATTGTAACACTGTAGTTAATTAATCAAGATACTATTACGTGTATTTCTGTATTGGCCTTATTATTGGTTCTCGACCAGCAGTCAAACGGCACCGAATCATTAGATATTGCATCTTATAAAAGGAAACTGAGATTTGGATAGTTCCACTTCAAGGTAAAAATGTTTATCTCTTGTGAAATGAAATAAAAAAAATATTGTAACACTGTAGTTAATTAATAAAGATACTATTACGTGTATTTCTGTATTGGCCTTATTATTGGTCCTCGGCCAGCAGTATTGGCCTTCCGCTTCGCCTCAGACCAATACACCCAAGACATGGACCAATGACAAGGCCAATACAGAAATACTTACGCAATGATATTATAGAATGACAGTATGGTTCAATAGCGGGAATCAGCCCCTCAACTACTTTTTACATAAATATTACCTTCTGGCTTCAACGCTTTATTCGTCTTGTCTGGAGATCTTGCTGTAGTTCCAGTTCAGCAAGCATTTTAGAGACGTATCCCGTCCATCCTCTTTTGACTTGTAATCTCTGGAGATATATTTTGCCGCTTGACATTGTATCCTTTCAAGCTTGTTTTTTTTTTGTTACCGTGTAGGGGTCCCATACTATGGCTCCATATTAAATTATAAGATCCATTCCTAAAGATCTAGATCATTGTTCTAATCTGACACAAATTTCAATAACTGGAATGCTACCCAAGTTGAATATATGGTGACCCACGAGAACAGCATTATCACTATTGAAATTGTGACTAATACCATCATTGTTCAATGTCATTAACTTAAATGGAGACAGACATTTGACCTGAAAGACATGAAAGGTGGTGTGGGAGTGCAAAATCAAAAACTAACTGACTATGATATATGGTTAAAGAATGAATATCAATTACATGGGTCAACATGGTCAAGGGCAGAGTTGTTATAAAATAACAATATGGCAGAGAAGTGGTTTCAAGTTTCATATAAAGCGACCTGACTGACATGAAATAAAAAATCGAAGGAGTATCCCTATTTGTCTAATCTTCAAGGTGATATAAAACTAGTAAAACAATATTATACTATTGTCTAAATATACAGAAATATAATTTGCTTCAAGCATGGAAGTATTCAAGTAACAGAAATTACTAGGTCACTAGTAACTTATTTAATGAGTATGTGGGGTATAAGAGCTTGCTAACAACAGGCTCTTCATAATCATTTGGTTTGAAAAGGATACTAGTAGTCTATATTCTTGATTTAGAAAAATGTAATTGCAAGAAAAAAATCACATTACTTAGAATACTTTAGATCATTCAGGTAGTCTTTATTTATATGTACAAAAGAACAGCCAGTAGTCGTTAGATATTGTAGATCATTCAAATAGTCTTGACCTTTTTATTAGTACAAAAGAACAGCCAGTAGTCATTGGATATTGTAGATCATTCCGGTAGTCTTGACCTATTTATTTATACAAAAAAACAGCCAGTAGTAATTGGATACTGTAGATCATTCAGGTAGTCTTGACCTATTCATTTGTACTGAAAAAGCAGACACATATACGAATATCAATTATATGCTTACGAGACATGTTGCAATGTTAAACTTATTACGGTATGTGAAAATCAAGACTTGCATAAAAAATATCACAATATTAGAGACAGTGGCGTCATTTTTCCTCAGAGCTTTCAGCTCTTTGATTCTAGTTTCCAGACAATAACTTGTGTTCAAGTGTATGGATCTCTCTGAAATTGTACTGCAAGGTACCATACCATGAAGGGAAGGCTGGGATTGAGTTTGGGGGTGATGAATCATAAGGGGGTTCTAAAAATTGGGGGGGGGGGGGGGTTTCCTTTTTTTTCTTTTTTTCCTTTTTTTTTCTTTTAAAATTTTCCATTTTAAGTTGGTTATTTCTGATTTATATTTAAAAGCAAATAATAATGATATGGTAGGAGATACACACCAAACAGGATGTGTAAATTATTATATAATAAGTATTGTGCAATAGCAAGAAATTTTCAATTGCACAGTATTGCACAATAGCAAGAAATCTTCAATTGCACAGTATTGCACAATAGCAAGAAATCTTCAATTGCACAGTATTGTGCAATAGCAAGAAATATCCAATAGCACAATATTGCGCAATAGCAAGAAATTGTCAATTGTACAGTATTGCGCAATAGCAAGAAATATTTAATTGCACAGTATTGTGCAAAAGAAGATACTTCGTATTAATTGCTTATTTCTTGACCAATTTCAATGGGGTTTCATTCTTGAATTCTTGGGGTTCTTTAATATGCTGAATCTAACCGTGTATTTAGTTTTTGGATTTTGGGCCCCGTTCTTAAATTGGTCCACATTGAGGTCCAAAGGGTCCCAAATTAAACTTTGTTTGATTTCATAAAAAATTGAATTATTGTGGTTCTTTGATATGCCGAATCTTACCGTGTATTTAGATTCTTAATTTTTGGTTCCGTTTTCAAATTGGTCTACATTAAGGTCCAAAGGGTCCAAAATTAAACTTAGTTTGATTTTAACAAAAATTGAATTCTAAGGGTTCTTTGATATGCTGAATCTAAACATGTATTTAGATTTTTGATTATGGGCCCAGTTTTCAAGTTGGTCCAAATCAGGGTCCAAAATTAAACTTTGTTTGATTTCAACAAAAATTGAATATATGGGGTTCTTTGATATGCTTAATCTAACCATGTATTTAGATTTTTGATTTTTGGGCCCTGTTATCAACTTTGTCCACATTGAGGTCAAAAGAGTCCAAAATTAAACTTTGTTTGATTTCATCAAAAATTGAATTCTTGGGGTTCTTTGATATGCTGAATCTAACCATGTATTTAGATTTTGGATATTGGACCATAATAGGTGAATGTCCAATTTAAAATTTTTAAGTTCTTAGACCACATTCATTCTGTGTCAGAAACCTATGCTGTGTCAAATATTTAATCACAATCCAAATGCAAAGCTGTATCAAGCTTGAATGTTGTGTCCATACTTGCCCCAACTGTTCAGGGTTCGACCTCTGGGGTCGTATCAAGCTGCGCCCTGCGGAGCATTGTATAACACATTGTGACTTGGATGGAGAGTTGTCTCATTGGCACTCATACCACATCTTCTTATTTCTATTGACTGGAATTCTATGTAACTTAGACAAAATATTTCTTACAAAATGCCAATTATTTGTTGTTTCCATAGCAATATGTGGGATTTGCCATACCAACAGATCACTGCAAATATATGAAATGGACTTCCCTGACAAAATTTGATTGACAGGAAGGAAAAGTACAAAGTTTCAAAGCTAGATTTTTCTTGATGATTCCAATGCAAGGATTTTCCACTTGATTGCGATGCAATGTATTTCTTTCAATGTAAACATCCAACTATATGATGGGTCTTTTTGTCCTACAAAATTGTTTTTGAATTTGTACCGCTGACAAAACAGTAAATTAAACATAAATAATGAACAGAGACATTCATCAACATTAATGTGAGGTTGCATAATTTGTCTATTCTCTGGTGAATTAAATATCACATCTTCAACAAAGAGCAAAGACCAGTGAAGCAGTAAGAATTCATATATGTGACCAGAAACATTTTGTAGGCATATATATTACATGGAACTGGGTCCTTGTCTGACTCCTTATTGTAGATGTGGCTAGACAACCTAATGCTAGGAAAATTCCACTAGAGGGCCGGGTATGGTCCCATTTAGAACAGGGTATTCATAAAGCTCTGGTGAGGGAATGAAATTTCAATCACAGAAGCTCATGAATTTAAAATAATCTTGGCTTCAATTAAATTGTTTCATAAACTTCATGTCGGGGCTTTTATAGCCGACTATACAGTATGTGTTTTCTCATTGTTGAAGGCCATACAGTTGCCTATAATTGCTTACATCCACTTTATTTGAACTTTGGTGAATAGTTGTCTCATTGGCAATCATACCACATCTCCTTATTTTCAAGCCTGTGACATTTATGTCGCAAAAGCGAGACATAGTGATCCCAGATTCGATCGTCACGTCGTAGTCGGTGGCCTCAACATTTAGGTTCAGGCTGGAATTTTATGAAATTTGGACAGAAGCTTGTTTATGACCAAAAACAGTATCTAGAGCAAAATTTTGAAAATAAATTCTGTATTTTACTGATAAATGGACTTTGTTTTTTTACGGTTAACATTCAGATTTAGTCTGAGGTTAAAGTTTTTTCAGTCATCAATTACTTTGTTAAACCTTCATGGAGTTTTAGGCAATTTGGACAGAAACTTGTTTATGACCAAAAGACAGTATCCAGAGCAAATTTTGAAAATATTTATTTTCATTTTTCCATATTTTTAAGATAAATGAACTTACTTATTTTTACAGTTTACAAGTAGATACAGTATGAGATTAAAGTTTGTTACACATATCAATTACTTTGTCAAACCTTCATAAAATTTTATGAAACTTTGGCTGAAGCTTTTTATGCCCCCGCTGTAGCGGAGGGGGCATTAAGTTTTACCCTTGTCCGTCCATACGTCCCAAAGTTGGTTTCCGTTCTCTAACTTTAGTTTGCCTCAACCAAATGTTATGAAACTTATACACAATGCTTATAACAACAAAATACAGATCAAGTTTGAATTTTGGTGGTGTAACTTTTACTGTTCTAGAGTTATGCCCCTTTACAAATGGAAAAATTGCTGAATTTTTCGTTTCCGTTCTCTAAAGTTAGCCTCAACCAAATGTTATGAGACTTATACACAATACTTATTACCACAAAACTCAGATCAAGTACAAATTTGGGTAGTGTCACTTTTACCGTTCTTCAGTTATGTCCCTTTATAACTTTATATGATACGGAAGCGGGGGCATCATCTGTGTCCCATGGACACATTCCCCATTTATTTATGATTAAGAGATAATGTCTGAAGCAATCTTTTGAAAATATATTTCTTTCATTTTCGGTATTTTTATGCCCCCGCTGTAACGGAGGGGGAATTAAGTTTTATCCTTGTCCGTCTGTACGTCCCAAAAATGGTTTCTGTTCTCTTAACTTTAGTTTGCCTCAACCAAATGTTATGAAACTTAAACACAATGCTCATTACCTCAAAACACAGATCAAGTTTGAATTTTGGTGGCGTCACTTTTACCGTTCTAGAGTTATGCCTCTTTACAAATGGAAAAAATGCTGAATTTTTCGTTTCCGTTCTCTAACTTTAGTTTGCCTCAACCAAATGTTATGAAACTTATACACAATGCTTATTA